AAAAGCTCTTGATCTGCATACTGGCCAAGCTTACGACCAGATAAAAACCATAAGCTGTCAAGACATGTCCCTCCTCTGAAACAGCTGATTTTTTTTTCAGTGTTAGTTGACATCATGACAAACAACACACAGTACACCACAAACTGTACTAATTTACACCCAACACCCACCAGTGACCCACTGGCGAAAGTTAAACTTGCCTTTTATACATCATCTTAATCATCAATATTATTACCCTAAAATCTCCACTGGGTTCGGCCCCCCAAAAATAATTAAACGAAACCTTTCATTGGCTTTCGGGATTTAATTACAGAATTACAGGTGTATGCCCAATACAGTATTAAAATGCAGTAAAGCAACAAGATTCAATGTTCACATTTTTTCCCGTCACGGCCATTTTGCACGTCTTAAAAACTGAAAATTTTGGTATTTTTTGCGGCGCTGTAAAAAGTTTGATTTGCATCATATACCAATGAATTTTATACCTATTTATAGGTAAACATCTCTAGTTTTTCCTGAAAGTAATAGTTATCCGCTAACTTTAGCTGGAAAGACGAAATTAAGCAAAATATGACCCCAACTAATTGCCTTGGAGAGAAAGGCCAAAAATTACCCTGTTTTAAAAGCTTATTTCTGACTTTTGGGACATAGTTGAAAGCTCTAGACTAAATAGACGCAAAGATAGACCATCTGTTATTAATAATATACAAAACCCCATGTACGATTTCAGTATTTTAAAAGTTATGACCGTTTGTATCAACGCGTATGCGAGCTAATACGATATTTTCAGATTTAGCGTAACGGATCTACCTCAAGCAGATTTTGTCAAAAGTACGGCTTACCTAATTCATTACTGGCACTGACTCACAAATTGAGCCATATTCCAATCCCTGAGATGCCGGACTCCATAAAATTCCAGTAAATGTGCTTTAGAAACTGCTGGTATGCGGCCATTTTTGAATCCCATATGTACAATCCGAAGCTCAAAACAGGTGAAACTGTGTCACGTTTCGAGCTAAATAGCTCGGTAAAACAACCGTTCAGAGGAGAAAGTTTGCTCGAGAATCAGAAAATCAACTAGGCAGGTCTCATTTTGGATCAGAAAATTGAGATTTCAGAGCTACAACCTCGAATAAACCTTCTATTCGACCGGTTCTGCAAGGTCAAATGCAGGTTGACACGTAACAAGCCCAGACAACCGAACTGGCTCGGTTTCCTAGATCTCGACACATTCAGTTACGATCTATAGCCAACTCCTGTAAAGTATTAGTCACAAGTATCATATGTTAGCGCACATAGAATATTTGTAACCGGTTAATGATATTTACTGTTTCTTATGGAGCCTATTTGTCAAAGGCAATCAATGGTGGAACTGCGTTTCAGTTCAGTGAAAATCAAACAGCTACGCCGGTTTGGAAGGTTTTATCTTTTACGTGTCTCAACGTCGAAAAGAAGCCCTAAACGAATGCAGCTGTCTCTAATTGTTGGAATTGCCTTCCGGCTTCTGATTGATTTCAGATTTGCCGATTTCTGGATGATCCGGATTTCCACATTTCCGGTTTACGTGTCAACCTGCATTTGACCTTGCAGAACCGGTTGAATAGAAGGTTTATTCGAGGTTGTGGCTTTGAAATCTCAATTTTCTGATCCAAAATGAGACCTGCCTAGTTGATTTTCTGATTCTCGAGCAAACTTTCTCCTCTGAACGGTTGTTTTACCGAGCTATTTAGCTCGAAACGTGACACAGTTTCACCTGTTTTGAGCTTCGGATTGTACATATGGGATTCAAAAATGGCCGCATACCAGCAGTTTCTAAAGCACATTTACTGGAATTTTATGGAGTCCGGCATCTCAGGGATTGGAATATGGCTCAATTTGTGAGTCAGTGCCAGTAATGAATTAGGTAAGCCGTACTTTTGACAAAATCTGCTTGAGGTAGATCCGTTACGCTAAATCTGAAAATATCGTATTAGCTCGCATACGCGTTGATACAAACGGTCATAACTTTTAAAATACTGAAATCGTACATGGGGTTTTGTATATTATTAATAACAGATGGTCTATCTTTGCGTCTATTTAGTCTAGAGCTTTCAACTATGTCCCAAAAGTCAGAAATAAGCTTTTAAAACAGGGTAATTTTTGGCCTTTCTCTCCAAGGCAATTAGTTGGGGTCATATTTTGCTTAATTTCGTCTTTCCAGCTAAATTTGGCGGGTAACTATTACTTTCAGGAAAAACTAGAGATGATTACCCATAAACAGTTGTAAAATTCATTGATAGATGGTGCAAATCAAACATTTTACAGCGCCCCCAAAAAATGCCAAATTTTCAGTTTTCAGACGTGCAAAATGGCCGTCGCGGGACAAAATACTCGGCGCCCCCCAGCGCGGCCAGAAAATTATTGTGAATCAAAGCAAACCTATTTTAGTTATAGTCTCGATAAAGCCTTTCACTCGCCAGAGTTTCAGCCAAAATTATTTTTCACGCGAAATTGAGTGGGCGGTTTTTACTGAGACAGCCTCTTAAGTCTAGTTTTTTTTGACAAAAGGAACCTTAAAATCTCCAAATCCAAGAAATTGGAACAGTATTTCCGTGATAAAATCGAAATTTTTATACGTCTCTTCGATGAACGCTTTGCTCGTCATTTTGAAAGTCACTGACGCGAGACGTGACGTCATACTGGCAGGCGGACTGTACCACAGATTTCCTTGGAGATACCCTCCCCCTCCCCCTGGAACGAAGGTTTACAGATTAGAATTAATATTAATTTTGTTCAAATTGCGTAAACTTCCCCTATATGTTTTCGCTAGTACAGAAAACCATTTCTTTCCGTTTTGTACTCTTCTTCCTAGTATAGCTTTATTTCTTCCAGGTGGATCTCCATATCCGGATATAAATGCCCGTAAAATCGCCCAGAAACTTCAGGAAGGATACAGAATGCCAAAACCAAAACACGTTGAGATTAAACTGTGAGTTATAATACGAGTAGGCAAAGAAAGTTCAAAGAAATGAAAAAGAAATAAGGAATACGGATTCAGTTCTAAAAAGCAGTAGCTAAGACTATTAGGTTTCCGTAATTGTTCCTGCGTATTCAGATCCTCAGGAATAAGTGGCGCCCCCGCTCATCCAGAACCTAATATTAGAGGGGGACCGGCCTCGTCAAAAATATTTATCGGCCCTCCGGGGGGCGGGGGGTTAAATTCGACCCAAAATAAGAGGGGTCCAGGCCCCTCCCCTAGTTCGGCTGGTTATGTAGTGATGGGTGATATGTTTCTCTCGATTAGCTACCAGGTTATGCTTGACTGTTGGAGGGAAAACCCAGTGGATCGTCCTACGTTTGAGAGACTGAGGAACACAATAAAGGAGATGGAGGGAAATCATAAGGTAAGAAGAGTAAGAACTTGGGAGAAACAATCATGGGTACGAAAGGTTCATTTAGGGAAGAAGCTAATGATTATTCAAGGGCTGAAGCTAAGAGGAGTGTTGTAGCACTTCCCTCCCGCCCTCTTATCTCAGTATGAGAGACTGATTAAATACTAAATTGGTTACTGAATTTATTTTTCATACCACTTGGTTTCTTCAGAAGCAGTTTCCTTTAAAACATTTATCCATTACACTACATGCCTTACTAACCAAGCTACTACAAACCGCCCGTCGACCTGGTTAGCTCATTTGGTTGAGTATCAGACTTTACAAGGCATATAGGGTCCTAAAATGACTGATGAGAAGGTGCTTCCATTATGTAATTAAATATTTTGATCCCGATCTCTCTCAATCAGGATTACCACCGAACAATGTAGACCTCTCAGTTTTTCTTTTCAGTTGATCTCAATCTGTAGATTTTAAACAACTAGGTATGTAAAAAAAACGTTTGATACTATAGTGACCACTTCTGGTGTGCCGCCGTCCTTAGTCTTGGGTTGATAATCTGAAGGGAGAGATTCCAAGATGGAGATAACTTGTCTGTCTTCCTTCAGTAATCATAAAAGTTGCCTGTAAGCTATGTTTGAGTGTTACGTGAAATGAATTGGTTTTGAGGTCGAATGTGGCTGAATAAAAATCCCACCATCTCGTGCCTTTTACGGTTTTGCATTTCTTTTATTGTTTTCATTTTTTCAGACATATGTCAACCTGAAACAATATGACCACAGCCTTTACGCTAATGTAAACGAATTGAAAGCTATGTGACTGTACAGCTGGTATTGGGCCGAAGGATCGTATCACAGACTGACGAATCAACCTAAATTTTGTCTATTATTACTATCATTACTATTATTATTACTAGTAGTAGTAGTAGTAGTAGTAGTAGTAGTAGTAGTAGTAGTAGTAGTAGTAGAAGTAGTAGTAGTATAGGTAAGAGCATGATTTGTAGTGATATTTGGAAGAAATACCACGAGTGATATTTCGAAATTGTTATACGTAATTTCACGAGCCGTTAGGCCAGTGAAATTTGGGACAATTTAGAAATATCACAAGTGGTATTTAAGCCAAATATCACATAGAAATCATGCTATTATTAGTTTATCGTACTACCCACAAAAGGTGTAATTTTCACATGCAGGTTTTTTAAATTAAGCGTAAATACCACTGCTCTAAGCCAATCAAATTGCAGAAATTCCTCATGTAGTAGTATAACCATTAGTGTGAAAGGTTTGAACCCAGGAGTCATTTCAAAAGGTTGAGTTTGATCGTCCGGGTGAACGTAGTCCTGAATAGGACTGTTGTTGTTGACAGTGACTGACGTTTCGACAACCTGTGCGGTAGTCATCTTCAGAGTCAAAGTGAGTTGTATCACGTCAGTTGATGGTATTATACTCTGGTTATTGATCTGATTGGTCAATTATGTCGCGATGTTATTGGTCGTCTGTCAGTTAAGCCGTGATGTTATTGGCTATGAAGACTCGTAATCAGTGATTGGTGCGTTTCGATCCGTCTATTGTCGCAGTTAAACAGTCGTCTATTGTTAGTCAAATTGTCAGTTCTCCAGTTGTTCTCTCGTAGTTAGTTTTGCTTGATCTCGTCAATAAGTCGTTTGTACGGCGCTGGTAACTGTTGGCTACGATTCAGTGGCGTTTGTTCTAAGTTAGTAAACCAGCTTTCTAAAGTAAGACGTTGATAGTAGTCTGTAGAATACGTTATACATGTCGCAGAGTCCCAGTCAATTTGATGTTTCGTCTTTAAATGGTGCTCAGCAATGTGATTGTTGACGTCACCATTCCTCGTCGCGCGTTTGTGTTCGGTCAGTCGCGTGCTTAGGTTTCTGCCGGTTTCACCAATGTAAGAAGCCTGGCAGTCGCAGCATTTGATCTTGTATACTGCTCCCTGTCTGTCCTCCGGTTTGTCTTTGTCCTTGACATTAGTAAGCAGTCGCCGTAAAGTGGTTATCGGTTTGTGCGCAACACGTATATTGTAAGGTTGTAATATACGTGCAATAGTTTCAGAGGTGCCTCTGATGTACGGTATAGTCGCTGTCGTAACAGGGCCAGAGTTGGTCTGAGAGTTGGAATCAGTGTTACTGTGAGTGTTCCGTCTAACAAAGTCCGTGTTGTAATTGTTCTTACTAAAAACGTTGTTAAGATAATCAGTCTCGTCTTGTAGGCTGTCAGGTGAGTCGCAAACTAGTTGCGCTCGTCTCGTCAGAGTCCGGATAGTAGTAGCCTTGTGAGAGGTCGGGTTGTACGAAGACTGGTCTAGTAATCGGTCGGTATGTGTCGGTTTTCTGTAAATAGTCGTTTTTAGTTTGTTGTTGTCGCGAGTGACCAAGCAGTCTAGAAAAGGTATCTTACCATTTTCTTCGATCTCCTTGGTGAACTGTATGTCCGCGTTCTGTCTGTTAAGGTGTTCGTGAAAATCGTCGATTCCGTCTTTGTGTACGGCGGTGAATGTGTCGTCAACGTAACGTAACCAAAGAGGTACAGTTCGCGTGTAGGTAGCTAGGGCTTGTTCCTCGATGTTTTGCATGACAATTTCTGCTACAACAACAGAAACTGGAGAGCCCATAGCTGTACCGTGTAACTGTTTGTAGTGTTTGCCGTTGTACTGAAAGTACGTCGAAGTCAAACAGAGGTTGAGTAGGTCCATAATGTCGTCTGTAGGTAGTGGTAGTTCAACAGTAGAGTTCTTAATAGCGTTCTCAGTACAGTCTAGAGCCAGTTGAAGTGGAATACTGGTGAACAGCGATTTCACGTCAAAGGACACTAGTTTGTGGTCGTCCGGTATCTGTATTGTCTTAATGGCGTCAATAAAGTTCTCAGTAGACTGTAGTTTGTGTCTAGATTCGTCAGTCAGCGGTTTCAGTACGTTAGTTAAGTATTTAGACAGTTGGTAGGTTGGGGACCCACAGAAAGAAACTATGGGCCGCATAGGTATGTTGGGTTTGTGTAGTTTTGGTAGTCCATACAGCTTGGGTGGCTGCGGAACACTACACCTCAGTCTGTTGTAGCGTCGAAAGTCGATCTTGTCGGTTTTCTTCAGTGTAAGCAGTTTGTTGTTAAGTTTGCGTTGCAGTGCGGGTGTCGGGTCTCGTTTAAGTACTTCGTAGGTACTCAGTGACACCTAAACAAATACCTACTGAGGCTATTGTATCTAGCGTTGAGGCCGTTCTGTCTCGCCAACACGAGCTATCAGAATCGACCAAGGATAACATCCGAAGTAGAGTGACCTCTACTCTGCAATCAGCCTCATTACCCGACACCCGCACTGCAACGCAAACTTAACAACAAACTGCTTACACTGAAGAAAACCGACAAGATCGACTTTCGACGCTACAACAGACTGAGGTGTAGTGTTCCGCAGCCACCCAAGCTGTATGGACTACCAAAACTACACAAACCCAACATACCTACGCGGCCCATAGTTTCTTTCTGTGGGTCCCCAACCTACCAACTGTCTAAATACTTAACTAACGTGCTGAAACCGCTGACTGACGAATCTAAACACAAACTACAGTCTACTGAGAACTTTATTGACGCCATTAAGACAATACAGATACCGGACGACCACAAACTAGTGTCCTTTGACGTGAAATCGCTGTTCACCAGTATTCCACTTCAACTGGCTCTAGACTGTACTGAGAACGCTATTAAGAACTCCACTGTTGAACTACCACTACCTACAGACGACATTATGGACCTACTCAACCTCTGTTTGACTTCGACGTACTTTTAGTACAACGGCAAACACTACAAACAGTTACACAGTACAGCTATGGGCTCTCCAGTTTCTGTTGTTGTAGCAGAAATTGTCATGCAAAACATCGAGGAACAAGCCCTAGCTACCTACACGCGAACTGTACCTCTTTGGCTACGTTACGTTGACGACACATTCACCGCCGTACACAAAGACGGAATCGACGATTTTCACGAACACCTTAACAGACAGAACGCGGACATACAGTTCACCAAGGAGATCGAAGAAAATGGTAAGATACCTTTTCTAGACTGCTTGGTCACTCGCGACAACAACAAACTAAAAACGACTATTTACAGAAAACCGACACATACCGACCGATTACTAGACCAGTCTTCGTACAACCCGACCTCTCACAAGGCTACTACTATCCGGACTCTGACTAGACGAGCGCAACTAGTTTGCGACTCACCTGACAGCCTACAAGACGAGACTGATTATCTTAACAACGTTTTTAGTAAGAACAATTACAACACGGACTTTGTTAGACGGAACACTCACAGCAACACTGATTCCAACTCTCAGACCAACTCTGGCCCTGTTACGACAGCGACTATACCGTACATCAGAGGCACCTCTGAAACTATTGCACGTATATTACAACCTTACAATATACGTGTTGCGCACAAACCGATAACCACTTTACGGCGACTGCTTACTAATGTCAAGGACAAAGACAAACCGGAGGACAGACAGGGAGCAGTATACAAGATCAAATGCTGCGACTGCCAGGCTTCTTACATTGGTGAAACCGGCAGAAACCTAAGCACGCGACTGACCGAACACAAACGCGCGACGAGGAATGGTGACGTCAACAATCACATTGCTGAACACCATTTAAAGACGAAACATCAAATTGACTGGGACTCTGCGACATGTATAACGTATTCTACAGACTACTATCAACGTCTTACTTTAGAAAGCTGGTTTACTAACTTAGAACAAACGCCACTGAATCGTAGTCAACAGTTACCAGCGCCGTACAAACGACTTATTGACGAGATCAAGCAAAACTAACTACGAGAGAACAACTGGAGAACTAACAATTTGACTAACAATAGACGACTGTTTAACCGCGACAATAGACGGATCGAAACGCACCAATCACTGATTACGAGTCTTCATAGCCAATAACATCACGGCTTAACTGACAGACGACCAATAACATCGCGACATAATTGACCAATCAGATCAATAACCAGAGTATAATACCATCAACTGACGTGATACAACTCACTTTGACTCTGAAGATGACTACCGCACAGGTTGTCGAAACGTCAGTCACTGTCAACAACAACAGTCCTATTCAGGACTACGTTCACCCGGACGATCAAACTCAACCTTTTGATAACTATTAGTATTGTTATTATTGGTAGTAGTAGTTGTGAATAATAGTAAACGTAGTGCATCAGTATTATTATTATGATTGTGATTATTATGATTATTATTATTATTGCATTACACTTCACGTTGAACCAAAGGGAAGATTACGATGTGAAACAAAACGACCGAAACACAATTTTAATACCTTTCACTTTTTAAATATCGTATACCCTAAACAGTAAGGAAAATGCAGTTCACGTGCATGGCTTTATTGGCTTGTGTTAAAGAACGCTTTGTTTTCATTGTGCCCTACTGTTTTATTTCGTCGGCTATCGTAAGAAAGTCCAGTGTCCATTCATAGAGTGCCGTAATCAGAATAAAGTGATATCTGGTACGGTTGAAATAACAGTAAAGAAAACATTGTGGCAATATTTCAGAAACTACATGACTTGTCTACTTAACCCTGAATGAAACCCTGAATTTATTAGAGGAAGAGTTCCGCGTGACTTAAATTTGAATAAATTTTTACATATCTTTCTAATGTAGTTGTATTACTGGATTCATGCTACCAGAGAGTTAGTGTTCAAAATTAAAACAAACTTTTGAACGTTGTTGATGTGGATTATCGCTCAATGCCAGCGAGTAACAGTACATTGAAAGCAGGTACTTAACATCTGTATGTGGCTCAAATTAGTGGCGTTCAATTCAGTCGGTAATCATACATAAAAAAATAAATTCTTGCTTATTAGTTTCTACTTTTATAATTTATTTGTTTAATTTTTTTTCCCTGAGTCTGTTATCTAGTCCTCATCCATATTACGATTTTTATTTCATTTATTTGTAACTTACTGTAAACTTTTCTTAGTTAATAGCTGTAGTCTTTATTTCTTATTTTTGCACGCATTGTCCCGCCTCGAATAGCCTTGCTAGCTGCGGGCAATACTTTTGTAATTTTATTTGTTTATTAATAAAGTTTTGTTGTCTGTTGTTGTTTTTCATACATACAAGTGATCTAAACAGAATTGCGTTCGTCCAATTTCTTTAATCACGAGTAACTGTATGATTACAGACCCAACTGGACTACAGAAAGTTGTTACCAATTAATCATAACTATAACAAAACTGAGATGTGATTTTGCGGTTCTATTTGATTTTGTGTATAAAGCCCAGGATCTTTCAAGAATTTTGTTACCGTTGTGATATCTTATATCATGTACAGTAATTTTATAGTCGGAACAATATCAGTAACTTGCATCTAAAAACTATAATACAACATTCATGTAATGCATTAATGACAAAACCAGCACATACAAAAAGAAATAATTTCGTTAATAATTTACAAGAAAAAATTACTTAATTCTGACTGGCTGAGAAAGGAGTAACACTGTAACACTGTAACACGAGTGCAAAATGTGTAACACGAGTGCAAACTTGTAACACGAGTGCAAAATGTGTAACACGAGTGCAAACTTGTAACACGAGTGCAAATTACAAATGCTTTCTGATTGGCTGAAAACACAAAAGAAACCAACAAGAACCAATCAGATTAGAGCTGTTTTAACAACAAAAATTCAAGAAAATGGCCATGGTTTTCAGCAGACGACGACTGGATTTAATTTTGTAAGCAAAACAACAACAGAAAAGTTAAAAAAAATATTCCAAAAACAAGAACACAGTAAAAAGTACGTCTTTCTGGCTAAATGTATTGAAAATGCGTTGCTAAGAGAAAAATACTGTCAGCAAAATCGAGGAAAATGGACCAGAGAAACTAAAAACCAAGCTACTTATAACAGACTACGCTAAAGTAAAAAAAAATAAAGAACAAAAACGGTTGCAACCACACGCAAACCATGACAGCTACACTCTTCAGGCATTTAAATGAACAAGGATACAATTCCATGATAACAACAGGGATTTCAAGTCATATACGAACGTTATTTGTTGCTCTCTTTTAGTCTTTCGTGGAGCGAAGACCTCTATTAAAACATCCATGCGATGGATTGTTTTTTTTCTACCTCAGTAGCAAACGAAACCGAAAATTCAAACATCTGGTCCAAACTAAACCAATGGGCGAATATACCATAACTCACATAATGAAAGCATCCGTAGCTGGTCCTAGCCTTAAAGAAAGTGAGAAAAAAGTTTACGAATCATTGTGCAGGAAAAACAACAGTCAGGAAGCTGAAGAAAGCAAAGATTGTAAGTTCAAAACATATGGTCAGTGTCACAGGCCACAGCGGTATGAATTTCCTTAACGACTACGATGAAACCGACGAAGAAGGGCTACGATGACTATTGCATTAGGCTAAATAAAATAATGAAAACTCCACCCCTGAGAAAAAGCAAATATTATATTAATACTGGCAGTTTCCTACATCACAACAACTGTAGCTCCACTCATCCATCGATGGAAGCGTCGAAAGAAAACAAATTGCCTCCTTCACTTTCGGGTTTTAAATCTCAAAAATTTGACCATGAATCCAGCTATGATGTGGTCTCAGAAACAGAGAATGATAAACAGTCGTTAAAAAACCTTGGCAAGTGTCTTTCATCTTTGGCTGCTCGAAGCGTTCTCCCGATTTCAAAACGGCAGCATACTTCTTGAAAACGCTTCTTGTAAACGCCGAGCTCTCATAATCGAGGATGAATTTAAAAACACTTACTTTTGCTATGTGTGGTAAACCAAGTTATCTTTAACAGGCTGGTGACCATATAAAAAAATCCTTGCACATTTCCAAGTTCTTAGCTGAATGATTTTGAAAGCGTTGATCTTGAAAAAGTTTGAATTTGACAAAGGTAGTAGTCTGTTTCAGCCAATCAGTTGAATGAAATAAAAACGCGCGCGCTGTCAAAATTTGTTGTTGTAGTTATGTTTTTGGTGTATATTATTAATAAGTAATCACATGATTTTTCTCGTGCAATTTGGAATAAATAAGCACTTGTAAATATTTCAAAGCCCACAAAGTCCACACGCCCTACGGGCACGTGCACTTTTGTTGGTCTTTGAAAAATTTACTTGTGCTTATTTATTCCAAATTGCACTCGAAATCATGTGATTACTTATACTAATACCGTTTAATACAATATTTAGAGGTAGGATACAAAAAATACACAAATTAAAAATGATTACAGAAAATCTGTTATTACAAATTACAGCTGCCCCATGTATTTCAGAATGGAATGGAATATTTCAATTCTCATTGGCTGAGAAAGGAGTGCAAATTATAAATGGTTTCTGATTGGCTGAAAACACAAAAGAAACCACCAAGAACCAATCAGATTTGAGCTGTTTTAACAACAAAATTTAAGAAAATGGCCATGGTTTTCAGCAGACAACGGTTTGATTTTGTACGAAAAACAACCATAGAAAAGTTAAAAAATATATATTCCAAAAACCCGAACACAGTAAAAAGTACGTCTTTCTGTCTAAATGTACTTTTCAGGCAATTAAATGAACAAGGATACATTCAAGTTTTCCCTGACAACAACAGGGATTTCAAGTCACCTACGTTATTTGATGGAGTAAACAGGTGTCCGTTTGCTCTCTTTGAGTCTTTTGTCGTGCGAAGACCTCCATTAAAATATCCATGCGATGGTGCGTTTTTTTCCTACCTCAGCAGCAAACGAAATCGAAATTTTAAACGTTTGGTTCAAACTAAACCAAACCATAACTAATATAATTAAAGTATCCGTAGCTGGTACTAGCCCAAAGAAAGTGCGAAAAAAGTTTAGGAATCGTCGTGCAAGAAAAACACAATGAGCAAGCTGAAGAAAGCATTGATTATAAGTTCAGGCCACAGAGGTATAAATTTCCTCAACGACTACGATGAAGCCGACGAAGAAGAGCGACGATGACTCTCTCTTGAAATAGGCCAAATGGAATAATAAAAACCCCAGCGCTGAGAAAAAGCAAAGATTACATTAATACTTGCAGTTTCCGACTTCACAACAACTGTGGCTCCACTCACCATCGATGACAGGGCCGAAAGAAAACAAATTGCCTCCTTCATTTTCGGGTTTTAAGAGCGGCTCCGCATAAATATCAACTAGACGTGGACATAGTCAAAAAATGACCTGGCCTCAAACTCAGCCAGAATAAAGCCCTATGGGCCCTACTTACAAAATCGTTGGAGTAGTAAGGGGGTCACCCTGGGCTCGACCAATCAGAAGGCCGGATATCCGGATACCCGGAGGTCACGTCATGATTCCGTGGGGAATTCAAAAAATAATAGAAAAAACAAACGCGTTTTTCATGTTCCAACTGGGTTTTATTGTGCTCGAACCCTAACGTTACATGCGGGAACGTGTGCCCGACCCTACTTGTGTGGGGCGTCCCTACATGGTTCAAACAAGTGGGCATGTCGAGACTGGGGAGACTCCCATGATGTGCGGACGTGTTTTCTAGTAGTCCGAGAACGTTATTCTCTCCACCCTAAAATGTCAAGAAAAGAAAGTGAGGAAAGCAGTAATACACCTTCTGTTGTACGAAGAAAACGTGATGAAAGGTTTAGTAGCGGAAGCTCGCCCGAGGTACCTCCAAGCAAGTCGGCGAAGCAGACTCTCGAAGAGTTGAGCAACAACGAGAACGATAGTAACGTTTGGATAGTCCTAAACAAGATCCGTAGGAACACAGACGAACTATTGGAAGAAAACCGTGCTATGAGAAGGCAATATGAAGAATTAAAGGAATCCTTAGACTTCAATAATGCCGAACTGACGTCTCTCAAAAAAGAAAATAAAGAGCTTAAAGATAAAGTGTCGTCGCTTGAAAAATCTCTCAGCGAGGTAAGAGCAGATGTTGACATCCTCTACGAAGATCTTGGAACGGCAATAACCCGAGTAGGTGACGTGGAACAGTATACAAGAAAACACAACTTAGAGATTCATGGAATCGCCGAAACTGCAGACGAAAATATCGCTGAAAATGTTGTTAAGCTTGGAAAAGTCGTCAACGTGCACATATCTCCCTATGATATCGACATTTGTCACAGAATGGGACCTCGGAACAGCAGCGGCCCCAAACCTATTATTGTTCGGTTTAAATCACATAAGAAGAAAACTGAGTTGTACAAAGCTAGGAAACATCTAAAGTCAGTGAGTTAAAATCAGTATTTTCATGCTACAAACGTGGTATATATCAATGAAAATCTTACATATTTAAGGCGCAAGTTGTCTGCTAAAGTTAGAAAATTGTGCATGTATGTGCATTTTGTTACATGTGCTAAAATTTTTTGTCAAAGTATTTCGCTTTTTATGTTTTGTCTTTTATTTTGCAATTGCTTTTCACCTTTGTGCATTGTAACTTGCATGCGCCAAAATACTAAACGGCAACTTTTTCTTGAGCAAAACACTATCATGATTTGCACAGTGTGGAACACATATAAACCCAAAAATGAATGCCTAAAGATACTAGAAACATACGTGCCTTAAGGCGGTTTCGCTGAATATAAGGATCCTCAATAAATCAATTAAACGGAGGAAGCTCTTTCGGTGGCTCCATCTAAATAGATTTGCTATAATTTTCTTACAAGAAACCTATAGCGATGCTAGCTTGGAGGATGTGTGGAGGGCAGAATGGGGTGGTGAAATCCTGTTTGCGCACGGTTCCAAACACAGTAAGGGCGTAATGATATTGATTAAGCCTTCCCTAAACGTTGATATTCTGGAAATCACTGTGGACAAAAATGGTCGTTTTCTCGTCGCGAACATAAATATTAATCAAGATAATTTGTATCTAGTTAATATTTATGCTCCCAATGACCAAAACCAGCAAGTTAACTTTTTTGATAAAATCATCGATCCCATTCGCCGTAGTAGTACTAACAACATTTTATTAGGCGGTGACTTTAACTGTCATTTGACAGAGGTCGATAAAGTAGGTGGTAGGGACATACTTCATAAGAAAAAGACCAACCAAGCAATCCGGGAACTTTGTAACAGCTTTGACTTAGTCGACGACTGGGGAACTCAACACCCGAATAAGAAGCGTTATTCTTGGGCAAATGGCTCAGGAAAGATTAAATGTTGAGTAGATTTCTGGCTAATTTCGAAACAATTACTGACACGCTTTGCTGAAACGGATATCAGCGCTTATTATGACTCAGATCACTCGCCTGTCACCATCTCGTTGACACCAGAAGATCAAGGCGTAGCTAGAGGACCAGGGTTTTGGAAGTTTAATAATTCTCTGCTTGAGAATGAAGAATTCGTTACAAAATTGAAGTTTTTAATCCTAAATGCTAAGGAAAAGTACAGGGAAGTTACTGACAAAAGGCTTTTTTGGGAAATGATAAAAATGGAAATAAGGATCTTCTCCATTCGATTTGCTAAAAGAAAAGCTAAGGAAAAAAGAGATATGGAATTCGAACTTCTCCGAAAACTCCAAGATCTAAATGCTCGTATTGATGCTGCTCCAGAAGGAAGTCCTCTAGCGAACGAGGCAAAAAAGATAAAATTTAAATTAGATCAAATGGCCGAGGAGAAAACCATAGGTTGTATTGTCAGAAGCCGAGCTCGATGGTATGAATCAGGAGAAAAATGTAATAAATATTTTCTCAACCTTTCGAAAAGAAGTTACAACAAAAGACATAAAAAATTGAAATCCTCGGCAGGGTCTACAATAGAAGACTCTAAAACTTTCTTGAATGAAATGAAGTATTAATACCAACAATTATATACTTCCCAAGGCCAAACCTCCGCTGACCAGCTATCAGACTTTCTTAATTCTGGACCTTTACCAAGACTAGACGATGTCTCACAAAACCTTTGTGAAGGTTCGATTACTGAAGCAGAATGCTTATCTGCCATTAAAGCTTTTCAACGTAACAAGACCCCCGGAACAGACGGTCTAACAGCGGAATTCTATCTCTGTTTTTGGAAGGAGATTTCTTGCCCTTTGATTGACTGTCTTAATCACGGGGCTCTACAAGGAGAACTTTCCATCTCTCAGAGACAAGGAATTATTTCGCTAATCCCAAAAAAGGATAAGGACCTATTGTCTCTTAAAAATTGGCGTCCCATTTCGCTTTTAAATACAGATTACAAAATTGCTACTTAATGCATTGCTAAACGGCTGGAGAAAGTTCTTCCGCTCCTTATAGGAAGTAATCAAACAGGATACATTAAGGGCAGATTCATTGGCGAAAACATTCGTCTTATTTCTGATATTATCGCACAATATGAAAATGACCAAGGAATGATTTTCTTTCTGGATTTTGAAAAAGCGTTTGACTCGTTAGAATGGGACTACCTCTTTCGGGTGTTAGAGGAAATGGACTTTGGCCCAAGTTTTCGTAACTGGGTCCACACATTTTATCATAATATCTTTAGCTGCATTGTAAACAATGGACACGCTTCGGAATTCATCCCCCTAAAAAGGGGAGTGAGACAAGGGTGCCCGGGATGCTTTTTATTCTTGCCGTAGAGCCTCTTGCTATTCAGATCAGAGCTAGCAAATCGATCAAAGGTCTTAAGTGTCACTGTCACTAAGGACCAGGCAGGGTCCGCGGATCGAGGTCGGCCGATTACTTCCAAATTTTCAGCATTTTTTCTCTATCAGATAAGATTACGATCGGTGGTATTTTTAGTAAAATAAAATTAATTTCTTAGAATTTTGACCACCCCCCTAGTTTTTGGTGCTATTTTGCCCACGTGAGACGGAAAATTTGGGTAAACTTCCACGACTCATTTTACTTACTTGGCATTAGCCTTATTCATTTATACGAACTGTACATACTTTCCAGCCTATAACCAGCTCATGTCTCCAATATAAACGAATTTTGTTCAAAATAACTTACTTTGGAGCGGTTCCAAATATCATCACTTCGTGGCTATCGCAAGTAAGAAGAATTTTGGCAATTTTCCAATCTGGTTTTCTCTAAAGTGCGGCAGTTTATATCCAGATCAAACTATTTTTTATTAGTCTGTCATAAAGTCTTTACAAATACGCAAACTCTTATTTGGCAAGTTAAAATCTCGTCGCGTGAGCTTTCTCACAACTTTAACCTAATTTCCTACTTTGCATAGTTGTAGTTTTTCCGGGAAAAATTTCACGCTTGATTTGCGACTTGTTGCAGGCGTTTATTGGCTTCTTTACTATCACTAAGAGAAAAACATTACTTTTTCAGGTAAGTGGCCATAGTTCATCGGCCTATTTTGTCATTTGGTAGGTCAAAATCCCCTCCCGTAAGCTTTCTTCAAATTTAACTAATTTGCATGTTGTCGAATTTCCCCGGGAAAACTTCACCTGTCTGTTGATATTATATACAAGCGATGATAACCCTGCACGTAATTAATTATTAATTTTTATGAGGTTCTTGTTTTTGAAACTAATTGTTGTTTCGATCTTGCAGACGTTGACAGTCCACAAATTTGGGGCGAACATAACAATTCTGTCATTTCACTAAACATGGACATGCAAATTAATATGCCAGACAGGCTCAAGATTGTGTTTTGTAAAGTAGTGAATAGTTTTGGAGACTAACAGAGTTAATGTTTTCTCCACGTGTGATGGAAGGCAAACAGGCTGCCGAAATGACAGTCAATTCGTGGCAGAGGAAATGCAATTCGAACAGATGCGCAAATTAGTGAGTCGAAACTTAATGCATTATAACGTAACAGATTTGACACAACGTTACTAAAGTTGATCAATCCGTGTGCATTGCTGCTGAAATCTTCCGGCACTGCTCTTTTGTCTAGGAAGAAAACCGAATTGGTTTCATCCATGATAGCATTCAAGCATAGCGACGGACAGCTGGTGTTTAGCAGTATGTAAAAATCCTTGCAGTTTTTTGTTTTACTGTGTTTACCATAGCATTCATTCAGTTTGCAGTCTTATATTGCTCACGATTTTTTAATTTACAAGTATTTATAAACCCTGTTATCGAAGGGTCTCCCTGTACCTATCTAAAAGGCCCCAATGGAGAAGATTGGGGTAGAAGCATAGAGATCCTCCCTACTAAAACCATGTAACGTTATTTTTGAAAACACGTGCAACTCTCAGAGAATTTTTGAATGGCCTCAAAGAAAGTTTTTTTTCTTGACAGTGGTCCGCTTGTCGTCAGGTGTAGCTGATTGCAGATTTCTTTCAGAGCTGCCAGTTTGAGTGAGTCAAGCTTCTTGTTTTTTACAAGTTCGCAGATATTGCTAATGCCCACGATGATTGGATGGCTTGGTTTGCCCATATCATCCATCACCAAACTTCTAAGGGTGTCAAACGCTATTTCCGACTCGGCAGCCTCGATGTCTTCCTCCGAGATTTCCTCCGCATCAATACCCCTATGACGCAGCGCCGCTGTCTGACGTGAAAACAGGCTACTGATCTGCTGCGCAGTCCTCCACTCTTCAGGCTTAAACGTGGGCTCTCCGTCCTCATTTCTGAGGGTCTTCATCTCCCTCGCTACCCGTACAGGATCGGCCTTGTTTCCAGTTCTTGTACCCTCTTCGAATTTCTTCATCAAGAAGGTCTTGACGTTATCAGTCATTCTAGTGGGTCGTTTTGTTACCTTCAGAGCCCACCCCAATGGTCTAGGGTCATGTTCTCTGAAAGCGCTGCCACTATTCTCACCTTGCGATGAGGTTGTTGGCACATCCGGAGCGAACGTCACCCCTGTCACAATTCCCGCCCATTTCCTCCTAACGCGGTCATACATGGACTCACAGTCCACCTCAAGACGGTGCTTGCCCGTGTCCATATGGTTGTCTGCCTCTGCTTGGGTCTTCAACGTGAGGACGCATCCAGTCTCTTGGCAAGAGTAGATCTCGGACTGGTGCCTGACGCTCTCACCCACGCTTCCCCTGTGTGTAGCTTGACCAAATGGCTTTACCACCCTTACTCCAGTATCTCCTTGTGGTGTAACTCCAAGACCGCTATAAGGGATGAGGCGTCCAGGGCCGATGTTGTACGCTTTCCACACACGGATGCCACACTCCTCAAACTGGAAATTGTTCAACACACTAATGCCTGGTATCTTGCTATCTTTGTTTCTTTCCCTGGTCGTGTCCACCTCAACGACCGCTGCTCTGCACCCTTTGATACCTCCATGGGATTCTAGTGCTGCTTTCATATCTTCAGCAGTGACGACGTCGTGCTTTTCGTTGACCCAGCGCTTTATGTGTGCCTTCATAGCAGCAGTCTTCCTATCACAAATGTCCTTGCCAGCCTGTGGTTCTGAGAAATCATATCGCACTGGCCTGACACCGGTTCTCACCCCTACTTCTCTAAGACTTAACAACAGAGGCCCATTGTGGTAACATCCAGCGTTATCCGATCGGAGGTAGGCTGTTGTCACCCCTGGATACTCCAGTTTGACTTTTTGCAGCAAGTCCTCTATTATTGAAAGAACTGCAAAGCTATTTTGGGTGCAGTTGTTGAAAATGTGTACAAAACACTCGACTTCATGCTTGCTCTCCACTGTTGCTCTAGTGATTACTGCACTGATATGCCAGCTTCTTCCTCTCTTGCCAAAAAAATCACTCATGTGTTCTCTGTATTGCACAGGCAGAAACTTCATTGCCCAGTCCATTACGACAAGACACGAGTTGTCGTCTAGCTTCTCGAGAATATCCTGCTTGGCTTCGTCCTGGTTACTTGACCGTAGCAAGTGAGCCTTCCACGCTTGTATGTTGCGCACACTCTCAGTGTACTCAAACCTCCACCTAACCCTCTCCTCTTCCGTCATGTCCGCTTTGTCTTGCATCTCTGCCACCTGTTTCAGTACTCCTTCTAGACTCTCACAGCGCTCACATTCGTAGCAATGTTCATGATCACATTCGCCCCTGAACTCCCATGCACTACTGTCACTTAGTGCGTGGACCGTGCAGTGATCACTGCAATGTTCTCCTCGTCCGATGTGTGTCTTGAAATCATTCTTTAAGTACCTTTTTGCATCCTTTAGAAATTTCTGAGTGGCAGTAACGTTGATGCCCTGATCTGCTAAGGCCTCCAACATAGAAAAGAGTTGATCAAAAGCCTCTGTACCCTCTGCAGTGGTGTTGTCAAGTCCCTGAAGGGATTTCTGCATAGAGGCCGAACACACTTCAATCATTCGGTAGAGAGAACGCTGGCTCGCCGGCTCGAACTCTTGTTCTTTACAATAGTCTAAATATTGTCTGATGATGCGTGAAGGAATGACGGTCCTAATGACTGCTGGTATGACAATTTTCTCCCCCGAGTCAAGCTTGAGAGTCTTTGTCCCGAACGCCACGTCTTGGACAAATTCTGGTCTGGAGATATATTCAATGAAATGATCCACCTTTTCATGCTCAATTCTTGTACGGAAACTAGGAATTTCAGGGAGAGGCTGGCCTTTCCCTGCTTCTGTTGCATGTTGGCGAGCTTGGTCGATGCGCCATTTGGAAAGCCCAGGGATCATCTCTTGAAGCTCAGCTCTTGAAAAGTCGTCTGCAAAGAGGGAAAGGATCTGTCGCTTTGTTTGCCAATGACCTGCTTGCTCATAGGCATTGACTAAAATGTCGACAAGACCAGAGTTGGGATCAAAACGCTTGCGCTTTCCTTGGTTGTCTCTGTTTGGATCCAAAAGTACCTCCGTTTGTAACGCCTTCCAAACCAGTTCCTCTTGACCGGGAGTGATGACAGACAATGAAGTCACTATAGTCTCCTTAGCTTTGCGGATGTAATATCGCTGCTGGGTGTCGGAGACGTCGTCCCAGGTCGTGTTCAGGCTGGACATTACGGGGCTGTAGCGGCCACCTGAGATGCTGTGGACAGCTTCGTTTAATTTCTGCCGTTTGCTGTTTTGTTCCTCCATCTCGTCAACCCATAAACTAATCTCTTCGTCTGGTATCGAGGCTTGGGACGAATGGGACTGCAAAGAGACTGTTTCTAACCCCTCACCAGTGCTTGAGACCGCTGCACACACCGTGGCTGGCAATGTGCTCTCCTCACAAACAGTAATGACAGAGACAGTGGCAGAATCAGACTCCTCGATCTCGTCTCCAATCACCAAGGTGTCTGAGTAAGGATCCTGAAGCGTAATAAAATAGATTAGCAAATTATGGACAAGATCGTCAACAATTCCACAAAGATCTCCAATACATGTAACTGTGGAAACTCTATATGTGTTTCCTAGCCGCTGCCAAAGGGTGCCCTCGCATCTTTGTTGTTGCTGGTCTCTTCAAGCACTGGTCAAGACCAATTTGTCATTCAGAAAACATTCAGATGTAGTCGAGTAATTGTTCTCGACGCGCGATCTGAAAACTCTAGACATGGCTATCATTATAACTAGGTCCCAAGCCTCTTGGAAATCGACCACACCTTAACGATTCCAAATGGCTACCCATTGAAGAAAAGACAGGAAAACCAACAAAGGTACGTGTTATTCATGTTGTCAGTTGTTATAGATATCAGTGCACCTGTTGGCGGTATCAAAACATCCTCTGATTATATGGTCAGTTACACTATGCTTAGTTACACTAAGCTGTGAATGGCCAATGTGTACTAGCTTACCTGCTCTCCAGACATGAAACCGTGAGCCTTACGGGATTTGTAGTGTGCTCCACGGCAGCTGGAACACACAGCTGTCATAAAAAATGATAATGATAAATAGATTAACAATACTGACAACAATAACCAACACGATCACCATCAACGTGATTGACCCTTTATACCGTCACCATCGTCTTTATGGTTATCGTTATCATACCCATCATCAATATACAGTCAAGGGACATATATATTCGTCACTTTCAATATGGCGGCGTTTACGCGCGCTGTTTTAACTTCGTTTACGGTAAATTTAAGTTTAAAATCACCTTAGTATTTGGTAAGATGACCCGTCATTTTGATAACATTGTCTAGGCGATCAGGAATGGGCTGGTAAAGCTTTCATATTCAATCTAATTGGATCTTCCGCTACACACTCTCAGTTTCACGAAGAAGGTCATTCTTGGTAGCGATATTTTCAGTGGACTTTTGTAACTCTCTCTTGATGTAAAGCCAAATGTTTTCTATTATATTTAAATCTGGAGACTGTGCTGGCCATTCCATTAAGGGTACTTTGCTTTATCTTTATAATTATTTACATTGTGTGCTCCGCTGTGAACTGGCGTATTGCCATCCATGAACATGTAGTCTTTGTCTTCTAAGTACTAAACAACTACTGGCCATACATTATTTTCTAGGATGTCAATGTACTTGGCAGAGTTGCTGTTGCCTTCAACTGAAGTCACACTTCCAACACCATCATATCAAAAACATCCCCAGATCATCAAATTTATCTTTTGTTCCACCTGTGATAGTCGTTCTTAGAATGCTCAACAGTCTTGACAGTTCAGCTTTGTTTTTCACGGATTCTGACAAAGTAACAATTAATTCTTTTGTCTCTGCAGACAGTTAAGCACTTTGTCGACTCACGAGTGCTGAATATTGTTTATCAGAAGCAAAACAAAATAACTGTGATCTTTTTTTGCGACCACCCGTTGCAGTTACTGTTGAATAACTGACTGAACGATGTGTCAAAACACAAACAGCTTTTGTTCGTTTCCTTTTGGGAAGTTTGAAATTTTTTTCTTGCTCTTAGTCGGATGTTTGTTTGTTTTTATTTTTACATAATTTTCCCGCCTTTATTGACCGATGTCGCGCTCCGCATCTAGTTTTCCCCCGCGTAGTGTGCACAACGCGGGTAAGAATTTCGCGCGTTATTTTTGATAGTGACGAATACTTATGTCCATTGACTGTAGTTTGTGTCACTCACGTAAGACCAAATTAAAGTGCGGTAATTTGCTTTCTTAACAGCTAAAGAAAGGAAGGTGAGTGAAATAAGGAGTGTTTGGGCGTCCCTTGCAGCCCCACCCAACTTCCCATTCCCTCTACTCCCCCTCCTAGTTCTCCTCTTCCCCCGTCCTCTCCCATTTGGCGTCATCTTGCAGGCGGGGTGCTTGATTAGCAAATTACCACTTCAATCCACCTCGAAACACTACCCCAACGTCCCCTCTCCCTCCCCTTTTCCGAAAAAGTCAGAAGGATATCAGACAATGCAACAGAATTAGGCAATGCCTTTGTATATTTAAACGAGTCGACTAAAAGAGAAAAGCTCATTCAAATACAAAAAGCAATGGCATCGGATTACGTTTTGCTTCGTTCCCTTAGCATATTCCGATAAAGAAATAAAATTTATGTACTAACCATATCCATAAGCACAAAGTAAAATAAGTACCTTCGAAATAAAGGTTTCGTTTGTATTTACCAGTGAAGTCCATACTACAACTCTAAGTATTAAGGCTGCGGTCTGGCTGCACCCGATTTGTACTTACCCGAGCCAATGGGAACTGTGGCTTGGTGAAATTGATAAATTTCTTCCGACAAGGTGGCGTTTACGCGGCGCGGTTTCTTTATAGTTTTCCGCGGTCCTCGATGACTTGGATACGAGCATGTGTTGCTCTTTCTGCCAGCCCAGTCTGTAGTTAGTTTTTTTCTGTGTCTCGGGCATATTGTCATTGACATTTTCTCGTTATCGGTTGTAACAAAGTATCCAGCTCTATTCAGGATCAGGTCAACCTCATTAACGTTTTCGTCTCCGGTTCGCAGTTGCCCTGAGCTGACTCCCAGGCTTAGTAGATGTGCAGTGATGTCTAGCTTGCACGCCAACAGGGGTACAACCTGCGACCCCGTGCCCTCCAAACTACAGGCAGAATCAGGAGAACTGAACGAACAAGTCAAACTAACATCCATATTGAAAACAGCAAAATCAGCTGAACAGGACAGCTGTCTGCAGATAATCAGATAAGGGATGGAAAATTATCTTTCCCTGAAGTGTACTTCTACCAAATAACAGAACCGCTCAATATTTCAAAGAGTTTGACAGTGAAGTATAGTATAATATGCAGGCCACCTATCTGAAAAAGTAATGTGTTGCTCTTAGTCACAAACACCGGGAATATGTCGCAAATTAATCAAGCGTGAAATATTTCCGGGAAAAACGACAATTATGCAAATTAGGAAATTAGGTTAAAGTTGTGAGAAAGCTCACGCGAAGGTATTTTAACTTGCCAAATAAGAGTTTGCGTATTTGTAAAGACTTTATGACAGGCTAAAAAAAAATAGTTTTGATCTGGATATAAACTGCCGCACTTTAGAGAAAACCAGATTGGAAAATTGCCAAAATTCTTCTTACTTGCGATAGCCACGAAGTGATGATATCTGGAACCGCTCCAAAGTAAGTTATTTTTAACAAAATTCGTTTATATTGAAGACATGAGCTGGTTATAGGCTGGAAAGTATGTACAGTTCGTATAAATGAATAAGGCTAATGCCAAGTAAGTAAAATGTGTCGTGGAAGTTTACCCAAATTTTCCGTCTCACGTGGGCAAAATAGCACCAAAAACTAGGGGGGTGGTCAAAATTCTAAGAAATTAATTTTATTTTACTAAAAATACCACCGATCGTAATCTTATCTGATAGAGAAAAAATGCTGAAAATTTGGAGGCAATCGGCCGACCTCGATTCGCGGACCCTGCCTGGTCCTTAGTGACAATGACACTTAAGAACGGAAACAAAGAATCTAAAGTCAGCTTATATGCCGATGATACCACTACTTTTATTCACGACAACTCGTCTGCAGTAGCTCTTTTCGCTTTGCTTGATCGATTCAGTACGCTCTCCGGTCTGAGAATAAATAAGTCAAAAACAGAAGGGTTGTGGCTGGGATTGTGGAAAAACAGATTAGGTGAAGACGAGCCTTTTGGAATCTCTTGGCCGAAGCAATACGTCTCCTCCCTCGGCGTAGTTTTCGCTTATGAAAAGCACGTTGGAGAGAAAATCAACTTTGATGAACGGCTTGTTAAAATGAAAAAGGTGTTAAATCTTTGGTCAGGTCGGCGCTTGTCAATCCTGGGGCGAATTGCTATTGTCAAAACATTAGCACTGTCTAAACTTGTTTATAATTGCTCTTTACTTGATACTCCGACCGATTTTGCTAAAGAAGTTAATAAGGTCATTTTCCCTTTCATATGGAACTTTAAGCCTGATAAAATCAAAAGAAACACACTGACAGGCCCAATCTCCAAAGGTGGCCTTAACATGGTCAATTTCGGGGACGTAGAAAAATCTCTTAAAGCTGCCTGGGTAAATCGCTATTGTTCATCGGATGGTCATCATTGGTGTGCGCTTCTTGACCCTCATCTTGAAAAATTCGGATGCTCTTTTTTGTTTCAGTGTAATTACGATTTGAAATTCTTAGATCTAGAAGGTCTCCCCCTCTTTTATAGGTTCATTTTAACGGTTTGGCAGACCCTTCATTCCAAGGTACCCCTTAGTCTTAATGAAATTAAAGAGGAAATACTTTGGAATAACCGCTTTATTAAGATCGGCGGAAAGACGGTTTTTTATAAAGCATGGGTTAGTAAAGGCATTTTAAGAATCAAAGATATCCTCAATGCTCACGATAACTTCCTATCTTTCCAAGAGCTTAAAGACACTTTTCACATTCGTGGTACCTTTCTTGATTACGGTGGTCTTCTGGCCCCGATTCCTAAAGATTGGAAAAATGCTATCTTACATGTCAATCTGGAACACACCAACGAACCAAAGGTGACACAACTAACCGTTGGAAATGTTTCAGCAAAATATGCTCGACTAATGTTTGCTGAGAAATCGTTCTGCCCTCCATTAACTGAATCCTATTTAAGAGAACAAACATTCAGTCCTAGTGCCGTATATGAGCTTCCATTCAAAATCACCATTGAAAATAAGCTAAGACGTTTTCAGTTCAAACTCATCCACAATATTCTTCCGACCAACCAACGCCTTTGGAAAATGAATGTTAAATCTTCTTCAAAATGCGAACAATGTGATGCTCCTTGTGAAACTATTAGCCATATGTTTTACGAGTGTCCTGCGGTAAAAAGTTTTTGGGAAAAAGTCATAGATTGGTGGAATCGTAAACGTTCTGAAAACATAAATCCCAACCCAACGGAAGTTCTTTATGGATACAAACCTGAATCTAACAGCTTTCATACTTTTAATCATTATCTCTTAATTGCTCGATATTACGTTTACTTAGCTAGAACCACGTTTGAGACCCCAGAGCTGGAAGTTTTCATTGTTCTCCTGGAAATTAAAATCCAGTGCGAAAGAGAAATTGCAATAACAAAAGGAAATCTTAACAAATACAGAAATAAGTGGACCACGCTGTGCATTTCTGATTAGGGTTGGATTTTTAGTAATTTAGCAATCATTTTTCTATTTGTTCCGCTTGTTGTCGTTAATCTGTTTAACCTTGGTATTTCGCTTTATTTTGCTTGTTTGTTTATTTATTTATTTATTTTACTGTTTCGCCTCCTTTTTATTTGCCGCCCTGTTATTGTAAAGTTTATTGTAATGTTATGTTAAAGGATGTTTAATAAATAACTTATTTAAAAAAAAATGTCAATCCGAACTCGCGGTGGTGCTGGGTGCTGGTGTCAAAGGGTTGGAGTTTATATCCCGGCGCGGATATGGGCTTGAACCTTGTGGAGTCCGTCTTCCTGCAGTTGAAGGTTGTCCACCACATCCTGGAAATGGGCGTGGGTACTGGGATGATTGGCGGGTGATTGTTCGCACAAGTACTGGACGGTGCTTCGGAGGACATCGAGGTTTTCGAGGGACGTTTCTAGGTTTTGCAGGTAGGTGGTATACACGAACTCGTACTGCTGGCGCTGTTTGTCGGCCTTGTGTGGATCGATCAGGTGCCGGGTCACTTTCTTGGTTAAGTGGTCGAGGCGGCATTCGTAGGACCAGTCTAACTCCATGTGCATGTTTTCTCTAAGGGCCCACAGCTCGTCTAACTTGACTAAGAAGTAATCTTTGCTGAACGCCTTTGGTGCCATGGTCGGGTACTTGTGTGTGTAATAGGATGACGTTCCAGGTGAACGCAAAGGTGAACGCGAGGGTGAAGACCATGACGGGACCCACTAGCAGCATGGTCAGAGTCAATGGGCAGCGTCGGTGGGAGGGGGACTTATATGGACGGTGGACGAGGGGGCGCAAAGCCTCTCTGGGAAGGGTCAAAAAGGAGGGAGGATACCCCCATCTCCCCTCTTTTCGAGGGGTCGAACGGGGGTGATGGGAAGGCACGTGACCCAGGGTATAAGAGGTTGGACCGTGGCAAGGCTCACTTTGTCTGTAGTCGATGTTTCAAGATGGCGGACTTACCCGTGTTACCTGAAGAAGTGTATTTGTTGATAGCGAGAGAGTATCGCAGGGCGACCAAGGAGATGCGCGATGGATTGGATTTTTAGTAATTTAGCAATCATTTTTCTATTTGTTCCGCTTGTTGTCGATGTTTCAAGATGGCGGACTTACCCGTGTTACCTGAAGAAGTGTATTTGTTGATAGCGAGAGAGTATCGCAGGGCGACCAAGGAGATGCGCGATGACCAGGGGTGGTGGACGGTACGCCAGGAATTTAAGTATTTGCCCCGCTGCCCGAAACGGAAGTGTATAATCCCTCCTGGGGGGGTTTTGGTGCCCAGGTACCAGAGCATGTTGAAGCCGGTGACGGGCTACTTTTGGCGGATGATGGTTAAGTCCATGTACCAGGCCACGGATGCGCGGATGTTGGAGTGGTTCAATCGCTTTTTCCGACCGGACGATCGCCTGCGACTCAACGAGGCGGCCGAGTGGACCATGATCCATTGCAAGTATTGTAATAAGATACACGTGTGTTATTTGAAGAAGCAAGACGAGGAGCGGGAGTACCAGCGAGAACAGCGGGCCCACCGGAAGAAGATGTGACGGGTGGATAATGTGTGGGCTCAACGGGAGTGGATCAAGCGATTATGCCCTCGCCGCCCCATGACCGCCCGGTGAACCTTCCACTCCACCTTTTATCAGGGACCCCCTTTGGGGTCCCGCCCACATTTGCAAAAGTCAATGATCAAGACTCAGATTAAAAACAAAAAGTCTTTTTATTATCGCTCGGGTCAATCGCGTTGCGCCAGCTTTTGCACGTAGCGCTTGTAGGCCTCTCGGTATTGATCTTGCAGGTGAAGGAGCATTTCGGTGTGATCGTGATGAGCTTGCAACCCTCGTCGGATGCGTTCGCAGAGATACTCGTCGAAGGTTCCGTATTGATCGAGGCGTAGACTGCGATGATACTCGGCATTCATGGTGCCAGCGTCTGTTCGATGCGTCGGGAGATCGAGGTGAGTTGGGTCTGGTAAAGGGGCAGGGAACGGACGCCCAGGACAGCACTGCGTGCATGAAGCACTGAAAAGGTCGAGGGATGCAGGGGAGTGAAGCTCTGGTCGCTGGGAGCGCGTTTATACCATTGCTCGGTCGTGACGTCACACAGCAACAACTCTTTTCCCAAGGAAGAGTCTAGCTCGGTCAGGTGTTCCGTTTCACCCATGTCGCATAGGGCTGTGTGCGACCCAAAGAGGTAGACGGTGTGAGCATCGCGTAGCACGTGATGGTACGGGCCGATGATGGCGTGAACGCGCATCCCCAGGCCTTCGGCCAGGTCGGCCACCTGGTTGTCGGGGGTGTAGACCGTGTATTCTTGAAGCTTGGGCATGGTCAGTGTTTTAACAGCTAGTCCTTCGAGCGAACGACGTTTTCTCCGCCGTCGCCGTGACGGTCGCAGGATGGGGCCGGGTTGAATAAGTGACCGACCGAGAGGAGAGGGAGCCTTTATATAGCAGGGCAGGAGGCGTGGGACGACCAATCATGAGGAGAGTCCGACGGGCAAGGAGG